AAAAAAAAAAAAATGTTTAAACAATTGTATTCTTCTTATATTTAAAGACATGCACATTAAAATTTTTTAAAAATGTATATTTTATGGACTAAAAACACTAACCTATTAAGTTATAACTTAATATTAATTCGTCTCGATGATTTTGATAATTCATCTAGTACTGCGTCTGTTGAGATTTCAATATCCCGATGAATATTTAGCATTGCTAATCCGAGATTCTCCGGTTGTATTTCGTAGATAGGTTTTGAGACGACGAAGAGTCGAAAAAGTCCTTTCTGGTGTAGTCGTCGTTACTGGTAGAGTAACAAGAATAACTAAAAGTTTTCGTATAATTGGAAATATTTTTTCATCACATACAAGTAAAGCTGAATGGGCATTTTTAAGATTGTCATTCATTTGGCTTACATAATTCCACCATAATCTAAGTTCTCCGATACTTTGTTCTTCACTGCAGTTAACGATTTTTTCATAACGACGTACTAAATGTACAATGTCAGTCTCAAATTGTTTTTTGAATTCTAAATTATTTATTTTTGATGGCAAGAGACAGTGAAAACTTGACAAAATTTGTTTATGATCTAACAAACGTCTTTGAATTTGGGTAATAAAAAAATCTAAAAATAAAATGAATATTGAAACACGAAAATATACTTCAGGTGAATCTGTTTCAATATTACTACGGTGTACTTGCCTGCCAACTTTTCGTGGAATTTTAACATCAACATCCCAATCAGAACATATTTTTTGAACATCATTGAAAATATAATTAAATTCTTTTTCACTATCATTACGCATTTTAATTAACATTTCTTCAATGTTTGTTGCGAGAATCATTGCAGTTGATAAGTCTAGATTTTCTGTTTGTAATAAACGACTCAAGGGAGAAGTTATACCAAAGATCTTGGCAGTAGTACGGAGGGATATCTGGAATTCAACATTCAGAATTGCGGATAATAGTTGTAAAGCTGTAGAACAAGTAGTTTTGTCTTGCCACGAAGAAATGGTTTCAAGAGAAATTGTAACAGCATTTTGTAGTTCTAAGAAAATTAAAACTGATTCATGTCGTTGAATCCATCTTGTGGGGCATAGATTTTTAAGTCTAGTGGCTTTTGTATTTGTTTCTTTACTTGCAATTTTACTTAAAAGAACTTGTTGTCGTTTAGGAGTATTAAAAAAATTGTATACAGAACTTAGTACACCCATACAATTCCGAATACTTTGAAGGTCACAAGCGTCAGAAATAGCCAAGTTTAGACTATGAGAGGCACAGTGGACATAAATAGCCATATCATTATTTTTTCTAACATATGCTTGACACCATTAAAACGACCACTCATAGCCGCAGCCCCGTCATATCCCTGTCCAACCATAAAAGAACAATCTATTCCAAGATTTATTAGATTATCTAATAAAGTTTGAGCGAGGCTTTCTCCCGTTAAGCTAGTTACTGGAACAAATTTTAAAAAATCTTCACGTAATTTTAAAGTATTGGTTTCTAGATATCGAACACATAAAGAGAATTGCTCTTTACATGAAATATCAGCTGTTTCGTCTGCTAATATAGAAAATACCCCAGCAACTTTTATCTTTGAAACAATTGAATTAACCATTATATTATTACAGCAATCGATAATTTCATTTTGGATTCTGGGACTAATATATGTTGCATTAAGTGATAATGTAGATATATGTTTTTTTAAATTTATATCCCCACTTTGAATTCTTAATCGTAATAAGGCACGAAAATTTCCGTCGTTTTCAATAGGTTCTTTAAAATCAAGTAATCCAGAATCTCTGTGCCCCCGAAGAGAAATATTTTGTCGTCCACAAAATATAATAGTTTCAATTATGGGCGACAATTTTGAACGGTTATCTTGTATTTGTTGTTTTAAAGCAGAATCTAGTTGCAAATCTATCGAAATTTGTTTTTTTTCAGTAATAGCTAATCTATTCTGAGCACGAAGAACAGCCATTTTATGATACTCGGTTATTTCATGATTGCGGAAAATTTCTACAGCATCTTTCCATTTTGAAAAAGGAATTTTTACGAGAGATTTAAGTGAAACACTTCCTACACCGCCATGGTGCAAAGAAAAAAATACACAATATTTACAATAAGCTCCGTCCGTTGTTTTTGAATAAGCTAACCACTCCCATCGAGAAAACCAGTTAAATTGAAATTTTAAATTTCGTTTTCCACTAGAAGGAAATTGATAAGATGTATCTGGATACCATAATGTTTTAAAAATAGATAATTTCGACTCATCTGACGTATGTGTTTGTTTAAAATAATTAGCAATATCATTATCATTCATACTTAGTTTACTAACCGGGCTTTTTTCTTTATTGTTTTCAACGGGTGTTACAGAATTTGAATTATTAGATTCGTCTTCGTCTTCACTCGTTTCCTTTTTTTTTTT